CCATTGTGAACACACACTCACACAAATGTGCATACTCACAATAATAACAAAACTCAATGGAAATCACATATGGCCCAGCAATTCCCACTCTAGGTAGAGACCAAAAGGAATTGAAAAAAAGTTACCCAAGGGGAAAAAAAAAGCATGTACCTGAATGTTTACACCACTCAGAGGGAAGGGACTCAACTGTCCACAAACTAATAAAAAGGTGATGGAATATATATATATATATATATATATATATATATATATATATATATACACACACACTCAGTGGAATATTAGTTGGCCCTAAAAAATAGGAATGTTGATGCATTCTACAGTGATGATATCCTTGAAATCATATGCTACGTGTAAGAAATCAGAGACAAAAACATTACAGGAGTCAATGCATGTGAAATATCCAGAATAGGCCAGTTCACACATAACAAGCAGATAGGCATGGCTGAAGACTAGAAAGAAGGAAAAACAGAGTGACAGCTTAAGGGACATAGGGTCTCGTTCAGGGTGATGAAATGGGGGGAACCAGACAGTGGTGCTGGCCGTGCAGCATGTGATGGTATGAAACACCACTGGGCTCTGTGTCTAAAGCGGTTCCAAGAGACCGAGACAGACGCCTCAGCAGAGAACAGCTCTCGACCACCTGAGTTCAATCTGTGGAACCCACGTGGTGGAAAGAGAGACCAGCTCCTGCAGGCCGTCCTGACTTCCAGGCTTACAGTGTGGCATGTATGCCAAATAAATAAATAGATCATAAATAATAAATAAATAGATTGGCCTTAGGATGCAGGGAAGACGGCTCAGTGGTCAATCCCTTGTTACAGAAACATGAGGACTGAGTTCAGATCCCCAGCAGCCATGCAAAAATAAGCCAGCCATGGCAGCTTGCACCTGCAATCCCAGCTCTAGAAAGCAGAGATTTACAGACTCGATGGTCCAGCCAGACTAGTCCATCGATGAGCTGCAGGTTCACTGAGAGATCCTACCTCAAAAAAGAGAGTGGAAAACAACTGAAGATGTGACTTCTGATCCCCACATGCACACATGTGTGCACATGCGTACACACACACACACACACACACACACACACACAAGCATAACATCTGCTTTGCATATTTTGTGTCTCACACCCCTGAACCTAAGGCCACTAGTATCAGGTATATGATAAGATCATAAATAATTCCCTGAAGTTGTGAGAGACCGGACAAGCATCCGTGTCTCCCAGCACACTCAGGCCCTTTCACGGCATCATAAAGCTCCAGGAAAGTTGTGGATCCATGAGTCCCAAACTCCAAATGCTCCCGAGAATCCCACCGGTTCAGAGGGCTGGTGAGGCCTGGGACTTTGCATGTGTAACTCAATGCCTGTCTTCCGAGGGTCACACTTTAAGAACATGGCTGCATGACTGCATGCCTTCCATTCATCCACAAAAGAAGAGGTTCTCAGAGGAAGGGCAGGGCCCACATACTGAGAGAAACAGACCCTCAGCAGGGAGGGGGAATACAGTAGGGAGGGGGGATACAGTAGGGAGGGGGGATACAGCAGGGAGGGGGGATACAGGAGGGAGGGGGGATACAGGAGGGAGGGGGGATGGACACTGAACTATACTGAGTCAATTTCATAGTGAGAGATCTCAAGCAGGGTCTCAAATTCTGTGTGTGGAAAGGAGAGTTATAGGCTCAGGGAAGGGCAAGATAACGAGATGCAGACTCCAAGGACCCATCCCCCACTCCCCCCCAAGCCGCCCGCCCCCCCCCCCCCCCCCCCCCCCCCCCCCCCCCCCCCCGTAACCTGCTTCCTCCAGATAGGCACTGCCTCCTAAAATATCCAGAAACTAAAACCGTGGCCACTAGTTAGGAATCAAGCCTAACATGGTAGTGGTGGTGTTCTGGGAGAGGGTCTCATGTGACTCAAGTTAAGCCTCAAGCTTTCTGTGTAGCTGAGGATGTGACCTTGAACGTCTGTCTGGTCGTCCCTCCGTGACCTCCTGAATGCTAGGTGGTATTATGGAATGCTAGTAGTCAAACCCAGGGCTTTGTGCTTACTATCTAGGCAAGCACTAGTCAACTCTACTAGTCTCCTCTGAGTCACTTCTCCAACCCAGTACGGAATTCTTTTGGGAGCATCTCATATCCAATAATAGCAAGCTTCTGTGTTACCAGGGTAAAGGTTTGCAATTTAAGGCTAGCTGGGATGGGACAGGACAGGGAGGAAATTCACAAATTTGAACCAACAGATATTTACTATGTGCCTCCACTCACTGCGCCAGAGATTTGGGGCCCTTTCCAGAAATGCCTGCCAACTCCTAACCTATAGTGCTGCCCTCTGAATACATATGTGTCTCTCCCATTGTGTCTTAAGTCCATCTGAACGGGGACCATATTTATCTATGAGCATCTAAAAGAACTCACTCACTTGCTGGCTAAATGAAATATGAAATGCAATTTCTCACAGAAATCCCAATGCCCATCCATTTTCATTTTTTCTTATATCTTAGTGTGAGCATGCATTGTGTGCGTGCATATGCTTATGCGCACACTGTGAGCATACCACAGTGCATGTGTGGAGGCCAGAGGACAACTTATGGGAGTCAGTTCTCTCCTTCCACCATGGGGGTCCCAGGGATGGAGCTCAAGTTTTCAATTTTGACGTCAAGTTCCTTGACCCTCCGAGACATCTTACAGCCCCATGTGCATTCTTTCTGGCCACAAACCCAAGCCATCTGAGCCAAGAGTCTCTGCCTGTTTCAGGAAGTACATACCATGTTGATCAGCAAGTCAGGGACTGAAACCATTCTCATTCAAGACGCTCAGAGGCTACATGCTCCCTTCCATGGTATATACCCTCAGTGCTACTGATCCTCTCTACCCCACCTACGCCTATAGACCCTTCCTAGGAGGGATGCCTCTCACATAAGAAATACGGAAAAGGTCAATGTTACTCATATAGATGGGGCAAGGGTCTTGCCATATAGTCCAGGCTGGCCTCAAATTCTCTATGTAGATGGGGCTATCCTTGAACTTGCTCTGCTCCTGCTCCAACCTCCCACATACCAGGATTATAAGCATATGTCACTTCATTTGACCTACTTCTGGTTGTAAGAGTCCCATCGGGCATACAGAATTAATGCCCTCCCCTGTGCGGAGACACCTGCCTGACCTTTTTTGAAAGATTTTCCCTGGAACCACTCAGGACATCTCCCTCGCCCTCCCAGTGTCTGCTCCTGTTGGCTTTTTATTTCATCTCTGAAAGTTGGTATGATGGCCATCAATCTGCATACCAAACAGAGATGCCCTAAAATATAGCAATACTTATGTGGAACCAACTTCATAATGGGAATACAGATGCCATCGTAAGCCTTAGGAATACTCAAAGAGGAAGAAACAAACAGAACTTTCAAGACAAAAAGGAGATCACATTTAGACGTATTGAAACAATGGCTCTCGGTTACAATGATCAGTAGCAAGAGGAGCGTCGGCCCCAAGCTAAGCAGAGTGAGGCTGGTGTCCTTACAGTACTTTCTGTGTAAGGCTTCAGCGGCCTTTGTCTGAGGTCTACAGTGATAGCTGTTACCAGGCAATTGTGTGTGTAAGAAACCTGCCTCACAACCAAAAAAAAAAAAAAAAAAGGCCGGGCGGTGGTGGCGCACGCCTTTAATCCCAGCACTCGGGAGGCAGAGGCAGGCAGATCTCTGTGAGTTCGAGGCCAGCCTGGTCTACAGCGCGAGATCCAGGAAAGGCGTAAAGCTACACAGAGAAGCCCTGTCTCGAAAAACCAAAAAAAAAAAGAACCCTGCCTCACAAGCTACAGCTTTATTTACTGTTTTGTCTTTGTAGAGTTGACACAAGGGACTCCATATTTCTCCTGCCAGCTTGCTTTCCCACTGCTATGCAGAGGTTCAGTAACTTTCTCCCTAAAGAAGCCCAGCCCAACCTCCCTACAGGCAGGTCCACCCCTGACACCACTCACAGTGACGCCCCTGCCCTGCTTGACCTTTGACTGTCTAATCTCTAATTCTGGGACTGAGGTACAGGTAAGGGCTAAGGGGTACAGGGAAGCACCCTGTTTTCCATAAGAAATCTCTCCTTAAAAAAAAAAGAGCCGGGCGGTGGTGGCGCACGCCTTTAATCCCAGCACTTGGGAGGCAGAGGCAGGCGGATCTTTGTGAGTTCAAGGCCAGCATGGTCTAGATGAGCGAGATCCAGGAAAGGCGCAAAGCTGCACAGAGAAACCCTGTCTCGAAAAACCTAAAAAAAAAAAAAAAGAAAAGAAAAGAAAAAGAAAGAAATTTCTCCTTTGCTAAAAGACTAGCTATGTATTCGGTGCTGAGTTATGGTCTTGTTGGGCTGATCTTGAGAAAGTATCTTCTTTGGAAAAAAAAAATCAGCCCTTGTGAAAAATTGTTGTGTTCATGTTTCATTCATTTCTAAGTCTGTATAACATTTTTATTTATTTCATGTACATATCCATTCTGTCTATTCATCTGAGTGGGTGTGTGCATGCCACAGCATGCTTGTGGAAGTTAGGGGATAGCTTAGAGGAATCAGTTCTCTTTTTCCCTCGTGTAGGTCCTGGAGACCAAACTCAAGTCGTCAGACTGGGCAGCAGGCACACTTACCCACCCATCCATCTCACCAGGCCCCATTCATATATTTAACGAACAGTATGGGGCGGGAGAGATGGCTCAGTAATTAAGAGCACTTCCTGCTCTTGCAAAGGACCCAGGTTCAGTTCTCAACCCCCCCCCCCCACACACACACACACACAGTGGCTCATAACTCTCTATTAACTCCAGGTCCAGGATTATCAATGTCTTCTTTCTGCTCTCCCCTAGCATGTGGTGTACATACATACATTCCGCCAAACACTCCTACATATAAACTAAAATTAAATAAGTCTTTAAAAAATAAAGAGCAGCACATTATCTGGAACTGGGTTTACAAAGTGAATAAGGGAAGGAAATCCCCAGTACTCTCCCCGTAGGAAAAGAGACACACAGAAAGATTAAACGTCAGCCTTTATAAGTGCAGCAGAGAAATAAAAAAGCAGATGACTCAAAACTCAGCAGCTCCAAGTGATGCACTTCCCCCTTCTGAGCAAGATATCCCCAAGGTCCCCAGTGCAGACACTCCACCCCATGCCTGTTCTGCGGCCCCAGCTCCATCCCTCAAAGGGGGGACTTGGGCTCTGCCTCTTCTCACAAACTGGTAGGAAGGCCTTCAGGAGCCCTGTGACTCAAGCTGTTAGTTTTCATGATGTGGGCATGTTAGTAAAACGGAGCAGAATATATATTTGTCATTTCCCTTGAAGGCAACTTCTGGCCTGCCCACAAGGGACCGCAAGTTCCTGAGATCAGAAGATCTCATTTCTGCAGCTTCAGAGCAAATAGAAGATGAGCTTCTCTCTGTCCCAGCAGTCTCTGGATCACTGCCTGTCAACCTGCTGGAAAAGAAAAAAAAATAATTTTAGAATCGTGGCGGTGGTGGTGGTGGTGCTGGTGCTGGTGCTGGTAGAGGTGGTGGTGGTGGTGGTGGGGTGCTGGTGCTGGTGCTGGTAGAGGTGGTGGTGGTGGTGGTGGTGGTGCTGGTGCTGGTGCTGGTAGAGGTGGTGGTGGTGGTGGTGCTGGTAGAGGTGGTACTGGTGGAGGTGGTGGTGGTGGAGGTGGGGTGCTGGTGGGGGTGATGATGATGGTGGTGGGGATAAGAGGAAAAGGACAGACCTGTCGGCTGTTGTTTCCTGAAAATTCCCTCTATGTGCATCGTTTTGAAAGATTTATTTTATTTATTTAAGTATCTGTGTATCTGTGTGTGCATAGATGTGTATGGATACAGGTATGCCAGGAAGCCAGAAGAGGGTGTCAGATTTCCCTGGAGCTGGATTTACATAGGTGGTTGTGAGCTGCCGGACATGAGGGCTGGGGATTGAATTCAAGCACTCTTTTTTAGTTTTTTGAGACAGGGTTTCACTGTGTAGCCCTGACTGTCCTGGAATGCACGCACGCTGTAGACCAGGCTGGCCTCGAACTCACAGAGATCTGCCTGCTTCCGCCTCTTGAGTGCTGGGGTTAAAGGTGAAGGCCACCACCGCCCCGCACAGCAAGCCCTCTTGACCGCTGAGCCATCTCCAGCTTTTTGGAGCCTCAGGACAATAAAAGAAGAGGCCAGTCAGGCCAGCTTTTTCCATTCAGCCAATGACTAGCAGACTCAGGGCCTGCAAGATGTTTGGACTCCAAATTCCAGGCTGAGCTGCCGCTCCCCTGTCTCCATGTATGTGGGAGCTGTCTGGAATGAGACCTTGGTGGAGTCCCGTGATTCTGCTTAGAAAGCCCTTCATTGAGTACCAGGCCCAGGGACCACATCACCCCAATATACAGATGCAGAAACAGGAACTGAGAAGGGAGGAGTAGCTTGTCACAGAGCTGAGACACAGAGCCCACTCCGGCCATAGTCTGAGCCCCTAACCACTCCACAATTCTGTTTCCTTTCAATTTTAGCGTGTGTGTGTGTGTGTGTGTGTGTGTGTGTGTGTGTGTGTGTGTGTGTCACAGGGTGGGTGCAGAAATCAGAGCACAAGAGTACAACTTGTGGGAATTGGTTCTCTCCTTCCATCATGTGGGTCCCAGGACTCAGACTCCAATCATCAAGCTCAGTGGCAAGAGTTTTTGCCAGCTGAGCCATCTCACCTGCCCCCACCATTCTGTTTTCTAGAAGAAACCAAAGGAGAGCTTTCTGTGATGGAAGACAAGGCCCTTGGTACGGGAGGAGATGGCAGCCTGGAAGTCAGGAGCATGTCCGAATGTAACCATCCTGAGAGAAATAAAGATATTCTCAGGAGACACTCGTGGGGCTGAAGATGCAGCTCAGATGTCAGAGCACTGACGAGCATGCATGAAGGCCTGTATGGCCCCAGCACTGCATAAAACCAACTGTGGCCGCACACTCCCATAGTCCCAATACTTGGGAGCTGTGGGAAGAAGGATCAGAAGTTCAAGGTTGCCCTAGTCTACATAGTTTTTTAAGACTGGGGAGGGCTGTCTTTGGCTATCAGACTATTAACACAAAGCCTTAGAAATCAGAATTTCTCTAGGAGTCTCACACTGGGAGAAGGAAGTCTAACTGTCTGCTAGAAAGAGATTTCACAAGGTTCTGTCAATGTACCCCCCCTGTGGCAGAGACAATGATGATTGGCACGACACACTTTGACCAGGGCCACGTAGTAATGCATGCCTCTGGTCCTCTGCTTAACTCTAAATAAACCTCATGTCAGGACCCTGAAAGTGGACCGAGGGTTCACTGGGCCTCTGTTCCTCTTCCCTGTGTGGCCCCGTGGAATAAATTTGTTCTCTGATTTTCTCCAGTAATCGTGTCTTTGATTGGCCTGTTGAAAACAAGCAGCTGAAACTAGCTTGTGGGGGCGGCCAGACTCTGAACATAACTCAGTAACATCAAGCACACCGAAAGAGCTGACCCAGAACCCGGCTCGGGGGTCAGAAAAAGCAGAAGAGAAAATCAACCCAAGCCTTACTTCTCTTCTACTCCAAGAGCATCCTCTTGCCCTCTGTGAAGCTGCCTCCCAGGGATGGCTTGGACAGGACCAAGCAACAGACTGTGCAATCCTTGCAGGATTGGGAGTTAGCAGAAGATGTCCAGGCCAGCCCTTCTGTGTCTCAGTGAGGAGCTCCATTAACGCCCAATCAGCTCCTCCATAAAATGAGGTCGAAGTGCATGCCATCAGTGACACCAGGGTAATAAGACAGTCAGTGACAGAACTTCTGGGAGAGCACTCTACAACTACCGGGTAACATTCTGAAGGGAGCATCCCTGTGCCGTTACGGTAGCACAAAATACACAAGGGCAAAGAGGAGAAGATTGCTCATGACCACACATAATAAACCATCCAGTTATGCTCTGTCCTGCTTGCTCTGTAAAAACCTCAGAGAGGGCCAGGCATGGTGGCGCATGCCTTTAGTTTAAGCACTCGGGAGACAAAGGCTAGAGGACCTCTTTGAGTTCAGGGTTAGCCTAATCAACACAACAAGCTTCAAGCTCTCCAAGCTAAAAAAAAAAAAAAAAAAAAAAAACCTGCAGAGAGTGATAACTCGGTGGTTAAGAGCTGCTCTTCTAGAGAACTCAGGTTCAATTCCTAGCACCTTCATGGTGGGTCACAACTCCAGTCCCAGAGGATCTGATGCCCTCTTCTGGCCTCTGTAGGAAATGCAAGCATGTGGTATACAGGTCTTTCCTGGATGACAAGGTACCATCCCCTCCCCATGTGGGATCTCTGGGTAACCAGTAGGCTCCCCTGATTTCCTTCTTGCCTGGCTGGCTCCCTTGCCACCCCTTAAACAACAAGCAGGTGACACTCTGGCCCCTGAGCACACTGCCCCAGAAAGTCTCCCCACCATGAACATACTTCACATAGTTACCCGCTCCAACAGAAGAAGGTCTGGGACATACCAAGCCGGCCCAGAGCCCTTTACACGGGGTGAACCAGGTTCCTGTCGCAGTGAGGCTTGCAGTGGGGATTCAGCCAGTGTTCCAGAAACTGCTCCTCAGCACGGTGCTCCAGGGCCAGCAGGTGATGCACATACTCCTGTAAAGACAAAACCAGAGCAATGGGAGGTGCCTAGAACTCCCAGGCTAGCCTTGCGCTCACAGAGGTCAGCCTGCCTCTGCCTTCTGAGGGCTGGGATCAAAGTTGTGTGCCACACACCCGGCGTGTTCCTTCTTCTTAGTCTCAGTCTTTCACACAGCCCAGTGGGAAGCAAGCCAGCAAGGGAGCCAGATGGTACAGCCTGCAGGGTCAGCCTCGCTCCGAAAGAACCCTGGGCTCTCCGTCTATGAGATGGGAATCACTGCAAAGTGTGTGTGAAATGGAACCACATAAATATTTTTATATAACTCTAAAACAGGGGGGCTATTGACCAGAAAAAGTGGCATTTCATCATGAGAGAAAATGGACATATTCAGTCATATAGTATTTGTGACAAGATTAAATTCTTTTGATATGTATCTATATCAAATTATGCACATATATCAAAATTCTTATGTGTTATATATAATAAATATATATAATCACAATATATATAAATATATATATTTTTTAAGACAGGGTTTCTCTGTATAACAGCTCTGGCTGTCCTGATACTCAATTTGTAGACCCAGCTGGCCTCGAACTCACAGAGTTCCACCTGCCTCTGCCTCCTGAGTGCTGAGATTAAAGGCATGCACCACCACCGCCCAGCTGAAAAATATCTTAAAGCACATAAACCTTCCTACAGCATTGAAATGCTTTTAACAGAGGGCCTGGTTTGAACTTTAAGTTTTTATGTTTTGAGAATGTCCTCTAGGAACTCTATAGCCAGGACTAAATACAGTCATTAAAAATAAAAAAGGAAGTGGAGCTGGGAAATAGTTCAGTTAAATAAAGGATTTGTCATACAAGATTAGGACCTGAGTTCGGATCCCCAGCACCCGCATTAAACAAAAATGGGTGTAGTGACGTATGCTGATAATTCCGGCACTCATGAGACAGAGACAGAAGGATCCCAGGGCTCTCTGGGCAGCCTGGGCAGTCTCTCGGAAGAAGTGGAGAGCAACTGAGGACCTCTGGCCTCCACCTGCAAGTACACACAGCTGTAGCTGCATGCCTGCACAGGAAAACATGCATCCACATACACCACACATGTGCACACACACCCACAGCAAAGCCAGACGTGGTGGTTATGTAGCTGTAATCCCGGCACGTGGCAGGCTGAGGCAGGAAGGCAGCCCATACATTCAAGGCCAGCCCAGGCAACATAACAAATTTCAGGCCAGCCTGGGCTTAGCGTGAGACCTTGTCTCCAAAGAAAAGAAGTGTTCTATGGAGAGAGGGAAGGGTTAACATTCCCCTTGACAAGGGCCTTACACACACATACAGGTAACGCACGGCCACCTACTTAGTGGCATCTACTGCTCTTTGGAACTGGAAAAAATTACACTGAGTGAGGTAACTCAGGCTCAGAAAGACAAACACCACATGTTCTCTTTCATATGCAGATCCAAATTCTGGCCTCTAGGGGCACGGCCCTCACATGGTGCACATTCGTCCATGCAAGTCAAACACTCCTACACGTAAAATAAAAATAAGCCTATAAAATAAATTTTTAAGTAGAGAGAGGGCTACATAGAGAGACAGTGTCTCAAAAACAAACAAATCGTGCGCTCAAGAGATTCTCTCTTAGCCACCTAAATAGCTAGGACTATGGTACACGCGACCCAACCCAGGTAAGTTTTATTCATTGGTTTATTTTTTATGGCAACAGCCACAGTCCACTGAGTATGTGACTTAGTGCCTGGTGCAGAGTAGGGCCTCAGGACAGCTCACTGAAGGAACACGTAAATGAATATATGAAAAGGTTGCCTTCTAGCCTACTAAATCCTCCTTGGAAGGTCCCTCGCCATCTCTGTCAACCGTCTTGCTAGAAGCGCCAAATGTACATAAAAGCAAAAGTCAGTATCTATTTCACAGCAGCTGAAGTCATCACTGAAGAGAAGCCATCAAAATAGACACACACTGAGAACAAGGAAGAAGCCAGCACCGGTTTCCATGACACTTCAGTATTTATTTTAAATGTTAGGGAAATGAATATGCCACAAAGGCCTGCAGGCAGTCATTAGTCAAAGACGAAAAGCCAAAGCACAAATCTGCTAAAAACCACAAATTCAACAATTGCATCGGCCGAGTCCGGAATGACCCAGCATTAATGAGCATCTCAAATGTTCCTGGACGGGGAGAGGAGAGGGAGATGGAAAACAGGTTTTCATTTCTTTAGATTTTCTTCTCCAGGGAGGGAAGAAATTAAACAAAAACAAAAACCAGTATTTGTGTTCCGTGTCAAGTGTTCATTGTAATGATTTAAGTGAATCATTTCCTAGTAATTGGAATGGAAACTACACATAGACCCTCACTGGAGGGGTGTGATCATGAATTGAAATGTCCAGCAGAGCCTGACCTGAACCCAAGAGTGACATAGCAAAAGCCTATCAAGGCAGGAACTTCTTCCAACATGTCACCATCCTTTCCGATGACATTCGGGCAGGATTACAGATCCATTGACATTTGGGAGAATTATTTTACTCATTAGTCAAAGCAAGGTGATCACACAGGCTAGAGGCTGGCTCAGAAGTGACATGCCCTGGATCCCCAAAAGCTCTGTGCCCCAGGAAAGCCAATATGCACTGAGCTGGATTCACACCTCAGTAATTCTGAACCGTCTTTGAGACCATGGGAACAAAAGGATAATGGAGTTCCTAGGACATTTGTCGCAGGGCTGACCATGAAAGCATAAAAGCTAGCATGATTTATCTGCACCCACTAAGAACATGCCTGAAAAGAACAGAAGCCAAAATGGCCTCGCTTCCTAGAAAGGCAAATTCCCAGGGTGCGGGAGTGCTTATGAGCACGATCATAAAAGACATCACCGAAGCCTGAATGTCATCTTTCTTCAAGAGTTTGTATCATTCTCCCTGGCAATTGGCAAACGAATTCTTCCCTAAAATTTGGAAAGATGAAGAGAGGCTTAACGAGTTTACATGAGGCAATAGTAGATATTTCCTTGAAATAAGCTCCAGCCTCCACGGCAGAGTTCTCTCCTGCTGGGTCCACACACCCATCCCATCCATCCCAGGAAGCACGGAGACATAACTAGCATTTAGTAAACGCCAATCATTGGTTTGGTGCTGGAGACCCAGGAGTCAAACAAACTGTCCATCTCCTAAAGCCATTTAGAACAGTCTAATGGGAGAGCCATAAAAATATCAAAATTGGGGGCTGGAGAGATGGCTCAAAAAGTAAGAACACACACGGTCCTTGCAAAAGGCCCAAGTTCAGTCCCCCGAGCTCATATTGGGCAGCTCACAACTGCCTGTAACTACTACTCCAAGGAATCCAGAACTCCCTCTTCTGGACTCCATAGGCCCCTGCACACACATGTCTACATACATACCCACACAGAGACAAACACACCGATGCATAATTAAAAGTAAAAAAGAATCTTTTTAAATAAATAAAAAGTTAAGTATTAAACATAGAGGTCACCAAAGCACCACCTTCAATCCTCAGTGAGATGGTAGGGCTGAGAGTCAACCCATTATCTCGGCCTTTTTCTAGAAACCCACATTCAGACGGTGTGTTTACGCAACGCACAACATTGTTTTGTAGATGAGGAGGACAGTCTCTCTATCCACAGGAGATACCTTCTCAGCCCCCCCTAGTGGATGTCTGCAAAAGCAACTGGTGAACTGAACTTCCATGTATTACGGTTTTTCCTACACACATAGACCTATGATGAAGTTTAATTTGCACACTAGGCCAAGTAAGAAACCAATGATAATAATTAATTATAAAACAGAATAATCTAAATGTTATGCTACAGAGCTGGAAGGATAACTCCATCAGTAAAGTGCTTGCCCCCACACACGGCAGGGCCTGCCTCAGGGCAGGCTGGGTGGGTCTGTCTAGGGAGAAAGGTGCTGAGTTTATCCAGAATAATGGAAAGGAAAGGCGACAGACCAGATAGCTCCATTAGTAAAACACTTGCCTTGCAAGCGTGAGATCTTGAGTTCAATCCCCAGAACCCACGTTAAAACCCCCAGGCATAATGGTGTGCACGTGTAATCCCAGTGCCAGGGACACCAAAACAGACAGATCTCTGTGCTCACTGGCCAGCCTGTCTATCCTGCTTGAGGCGTTCCAGGCCCATGAGAGACCCTGTCTCAAAATACAAGGTAGATAGCTCCTGAAAAACGATACTCAAGGTTAACCTCTGGCCTCCACACACATAAGTGCACACGTAAAAGCACAACTGTACACACACACACACACACACACACACACACACACACACAAGGCTCTCAATATAGCTTATTGCACTGCACTTTCCCTTCTTCCTGTGAGGACGTGAGATGATGTAATGCCTATCAGGTAGGATGGAGTGAGAGGGAGGGCAGAGGCTGTGCATGAGACTTGCTGACAGGGAAACACAACAATTCTGCAGTGGACCCAGTGATGGAGACTGTTGTCAATGAGCAAGGAAACCCTTATCAAAGAAAGCACTTAACTGGGGGCCTGCTTACAGTTTCAGAAGGTCAGTCCATGATCATCACAGTGGGAGGCAGACAGACAGAGTGCAGGAGCAGTAGCTGAGAGCTTTATATCCTGATTCACCTCCTCCAACAAGGACACACTTAATCCAACGAGGCCACACCTCCTAATCCTTCCAAGCAGTTCACCCGCTGGGAACTAAGCATGCAAACATATGAGCCTACATGAGGCATTCCCATCCAAACCACCATAGAGACTAAGTGGCGGACAGGTGACTTGCAGAGACTGTGGCCACACTAGACATCCCCACCCCTCATCACCCTCCCCGGAATGCTGCACCATTTTAATTGCATGCGTTGTTCCTTGCCAGAATTTCCCATTTAATATCTGTAGACTCAGGGTGACCACGAACCTCAGAAACTTAAGAAAGAAAATGTGCAAATAAGGAAGGGGGAGGAGCGTCCTGGGAGGGCAGAGAGGAAGGAGAGAAACACTGTGACATTCAG